GGGGCCAACAGGAGGGAGAGAAGGTTTGGGATTTGGGTTTGAAGGGCAAGCATCGGTTAAATGGTTGAAAGATTTGCACAGATCGCAAACAGAGGGGCGCCATTCATACTGGATTTTAAGGTTGAAGAGTTTACCTTCCACTGTAATAGGAATGGAAGCAGGATAAGTAGCAGAAGAGTCAATCTGGACACACACTCTAGCGTATGTGAGTCTCGATTTAGATGCTGTGAGAGCATCGACAGCAAGTGGGATACCAACTTTGGTGGCGATCTTGGAAATGCCTATCGGGGTCCAGCAGCAGAGCGGTAAATCGTGGATTTTGAACCAAATGGGGATATTGGTGTACTCAATTCTTTCAGGGCTGAAGTGAGAAGACCATTTTTTGAAAATGAATGGTCTACCAAAGATAAACCAAGCACCTTTTGTCCATACCATTTCATAATCCTCAGCACAAGAGAATTTAAAGAGGAAAAAACCTTCACTTAGTGAAATCAGTTTGATAGTACCTTTGAGCTTCCAAAGATTAGTAACAGCTTTGAGCAAAGCTTCATAGTATGGCCTTTTACCGAGAGAGTAGCCGACCAAAGCAAGGTTGTATTCCTCAACAGCTTCAGCTATATCTTCAGTAGGGAAATCAATGATTTCTTCAGGGGTTGGAAGAGCCGAAATATTGAACTCACTGGCTACCGGAGGATCCGAGAAGACTCTGTCCCAAGGAAGAGGGCACGATGTACCTGGGTTAGGAAGTGGTGAAGAAGAGTTGGGTAGGGGAGGAAAGGAAGTGGAGTAAACGGAGGGATCCATAGGATCCCCCCAGCGGAGGCGGCGGAGGGACACAAAGTGCGGAGGAGGCGCCGGGAGAAAAAAATCGCCAAACCCTAGCGCAGCTCACGTACGGAAGGTTTTCACTTTCCTTATTTCTTACTCTATCTGGATCCCCCCATTGTGATGAATGAGGGCTCTATTTATAGATTTTCTGGAGTGGCATGACCCGTAAATAGGTGTGAGATCAAGGGCGAATAGGGAGTGGTTTGAATGGATGGCCGACAGTGAACCCTTCGATAATGCACCGTTTGTTAGACATTTGAATGCCTTAATGATGTCGGAATTCGGTGATCTTGGGCTCGTTGGATTCGTCTCGTCGAGCCGTTCGATTTGAGTATAAGCTCGTCAAAATCGGAGTCCGTTTGGTAACTCGAATTGTGGTTTGAACCTTCCAACAGCGCTTCGGGTTCATGATTTGGGCCCATTTGGGCTCGGATTGGGTCGAATTTGGTGTCGTTGGATTCGTATTTCCAAGACGCTCAGTTTGACAATAAGCTCGCTGAAATCGGAGTTCGGGTTCTCCCAAGATTAATTTTTGAAGTTTCCAACTAGCTTTTGCCTCGAGATTCGTGCCCGATCAAGCTAATTTTGTGATGACGTATCAAAACTAAATGATATTAATTGTTTCTTGAGATTAAATGGTATAAATTTGTAAATTCTTAAATTATTTGTAATTTATAAATGTCATATTTCATGGATTTTCATAAAGTAGGATGAGTGTGAAATTGAGTTCAGAAGCGCCTCTTATATGTATAATTTTTTACTCTTTTTTTTTTTCCGTGGAAGTGTTCACCGAATCTTATTTGGTCCTTTCTTTCTTAAGCTATCATAGAGATCGGCTTGATTTGTATCGTAGCTGTTTCCTAATTTGATTGGGTAAATATGAAAGAGAATAATAGGCGAGTGAGTGGAATAATGAATATAAAGCATTAATGAAAAACCTAACTAAAATAATAAATAAAATTTAACTTACTCCTCAATCAAAATTTATATGTTTATTAGGTAAATTATTCTAATATTTATTATTAGAGGTATTTACACACATAACATTTAAAGTTTTAAATAACCTAAAAAACAACACTCTCCTCATCCTCTTTGTTACAATTCCATTAGATGAATGTTGATATGGATTAATTATTCTGTGCGGGAGCTGAACGTCATCCGTAGACCAACCAGAATGTGTCACGTCACCCCTTTGCTCGATACTGCTGACGTGGCTCATTCCGGTTGGCCTCTGGACGGCGTTCTGCGTCCAGTATCTGCACAAAATAATTTCTCGTTGATTGATATGAGATGCAATCACGACGATTTATAACTATAGAGGGCTGAGATGTAGGTTGGGCAGATTGGCAAAGGGCTAACAAATTTGAGGAAGACGATTACGAGAGATGCGTTGGCCAGCATAAGGCCACATAAGATTTGCTCGACAAAGAGGCGACATAATCGAGGTTCTGTAATATGCGTAGAGAGAGGGCTGGCTGCTTATGAAAATGTTGTGTTTGAGTCTAGGAGATAGTTTTTTCTCATCTCTTTAAAATCGTAGCTAATACCCCTTTTTCTAGTGAGATCCCATCATGAAGTTTCTCAGGTAGATTTATCGTAACTAGAGGTGTCAATATTTGACATGACCTGAAAACCTGACATGAAAATTTCAGGTTAGATTCAACCTGAACCTGAAATGGGTTGGGTTCAACATTTCGACCCGTTTTACAAATTGACACGTCATCGGGTTAACCATTTGACACGAAAATAACCCAATTTGACCCAAAAACCCGATTTTGACCCGACAACCCGAAATTGACTCGATTTTGACCCGTTTTTTACCCGAAAAAGAGGAGATAGACCCGTTTTTTACCCAAAAAACTAGAAATTTTTTGATGGAAACGGGTCGTGTCGGTTTGACCCGAACCCGTAGCGAGTCGGGTTCGAGTCCTGAAAACTA